GAAATCATCTGAGGTCGTTGCCTTCCGAATCTCGAAGATGACATGAACTGATTGCAGATCAGGAACTGTGATCTCACAGCCTTCTTCATTCTTGAAGATGAAGCAAGCGGGGTCGTCACACAAATTCACCAAGGTCACGGCTCTAGGCTCAACAACCATGGTGCAGGAATCTTTCAGCACCAAAATGGCCTGCTGAAGCTTTGTCTTCTCAAATCCCCACTTAATCAGCTGCTGGATTTGGAAGCCCTTCACAATGGCAACACACGGATTGGTTGTTTCCAACTTCAGAAGTTTCCGCATAGAGGTCATGGTGACAAAGACAATCCCTTTGGCTGCTGGGTTGAGAGTATCGCTGGAAATCATCTGCAAAGAATGGATGGAAGAGCCATCCTGCAGGGCAAGCTCACATTTATCTGACAATTCCATGCCAATCTTCTCGCCAGATGTTTCCCAGCGACATCTTTTCGCCAGTCCAGGCTGATGAGATGCCATTGCAACGGCACAAGGGCTCCAGAGGAGGAGAAGGGCCGACCAGGCCGAAATCAAACCAAAGAAAGAGAACATGTCTGCCAATCCAAGTGTAGTTGGAAGGAGCAAAATGGAACCAAATCAACAAAAGAACTACGCCAGGAATTGGTTAAGGCTACACCCCAATAAGAGCCCCCACCACTTCACGGTTTCCTGGGCTGGGAGGCCCGGAGGCCACGCATCAACTTTGAGCTGACACGGCTTAAAAGGGTCTGTATGTAAAAGCCTCTGTGTGTTAGTTTCTGTGTCAGAAGTCAGAAGGCACTTTTAGTTGCCGGCCCGCAAGCCGCGAAAGTCTTAAAAGCTGGGTCCAAAAGGCTTCGGCCAGGATTTGGCTAAAAACGGCCGTTTCCCCTTGATCCCAGAAGGCCCTTTTAGTTGCCGGCCCGCAAGCCGCGAAAGTCCCACAAGCTGGCTCCAAAAGGCTCCTGGCTAGGATGTGGCTAAAAACGAGCGTTTCCCCTTGATCCCAGAAGGGAAATCCAATTGCCGGCCCGCAAGGCGCGAAAGTTTAAAATCTGGTTCCAAAAGGGTTCTTGCTAGGCTTTGGCCCAAAACGGCCGTTTCCATTTGATTTCAGATGCGGCTCTGTGTCAAGATGTTTCTGTGTAAAAGCGTCTGTGTGTAAAAGGGTCTGTGTGCAACATTCTGTGTATGCGTAAACGGGTCCGTGTGTAAAAAGGTTTGTGTTTTTAAAAGTGTCTGTATGTAAACAGGTCTGTGTGTAAAAGCATTTCTGTGTCAAGATGTTTGTGTGTCAAAAAGTCTGTGTGCTACTACTACGACTGTGTATAAGCCTAACAACTAGCAACCGCCTTTACTTCGAGATACTTCAGCGCAGAGACAAAAAAAACCATGAGCATTGCTTTGGGGGCTGGCTTTCGTCCCCCCCCTTCTCAGGTATATATATATATATATAATATATGGCAGTGTGTCAAAACCGTGTACCCCTGGTGAACATCAAAATAGCTGGTAAATGGATGTTCATCCCCCTAAAAAATGTATCCATAGGTATTGACCCATACCCATATTATACACTGTTCTTGATATAATTTACACAATTGCACCACATACATGAGATGTTTCGAGCATCGCTCAGCTGAAACGGCCAGATGGGCAGCTTCTGGATTGGCGCTGGGATGAGCTGAGCCCCAGCGAGGCGGCGCAGCATCGGACATGTCTTGAATGTGAAAATTGAAATGAAATGGATTGAACTGGTTAAGTATGGTTGACTTTATGTTAAATGAATTATGTTAAATGGATTTAAATGGTTGAATGTGTTTTGGATGCGGGCTTCATGGTTTGGATTTGGTCGCTTTGCTGCACTTGGTAAGCACCGAACGATGACTGTTCGGAGAGTTGCTGAAACTGATCCATTAGCTCAGCACACAACGGAACTGCAAAGTTCGGCGAGAATGACAGAAATCCTGTGTGTGCGGTGTGTTGCAACATTTGCAACTAATTCTATAGACTATATTGACTATATAGCATTATCAAATCTTGCAATACCCACCATGTCCCACAGGTTGGCAAAGTCTTCCGCAGACTTGTTGTTGAGGGACTGTCCGGGATTGATCGGGATTGCAGGAATTGCGATTTCCAAGCTTGGTGCCAGATTGGAGGGGCATTGGTCATGTAGGAAGTTTCTTGGCTCGGGTGTTGAGGTGGAGTATGGTGGAGTTCACAGTAGCCGAACAAGTTCAGATGGCGACCATGGGAAAATGTACACTTCACATTGGAAGGGACTTGGAGTCTAAAACATCCTTAATTGGGCATAAGATTCCTGAGGATTTCCAACGAACCCAAGCAATTGAACCACTCGCATCAAGCTAGATGCAGCTAGATGATTTATATCAATTTATGATTGTTTCTCAGCTTTTTGGACTGAATGAGCCTTTTTAGCGATGGCGGGAAAGATGTTGTGGACGTCGTGCTGCAAAGCACAGAGATGTGTTTTTTCCATGTTTTTCTTTTCGAGAGCGACGAATAGTACAACAGCTATGATTTCTTAAACCTTTGTTGTACAAGTCACAGGTGCCTTACACTCGTTCTTCTGGTTTTCGTGAGGCAAATCCTTCAGCTACGACATGTTGAGTCTTGATGCAGAGAATTGGTATCCTTGACGCACAGAGGGGGTTCAAAACGTTGAGGACCGGTGTTATTTGAAGGAGAATGCCTTTCATACCGTGGAATTGGATATAATTCTGAAACACTTTCAAAGGTTTCAGAAGAACTTCTATACAACGGTTTATAAAATGATTTAAAACTTTAAAACCAGTAAACAGCTTTAACAGGCTTTAACATACTTCAGACTTTGGCAATTTGTTGTCCTTTCCATTGCACGCCTTGAATTTCTGCAAGGCATTCAGACGCTGAGTCACCTCGAGAGCTGAAGTCAGAGGCAGAGGCAAGGCAGAGTTCAGCGGCCGGCCGGTTACTGGGAGCAATCTTGGCAGATCTTGGCGGTTGGTAGTGCCATGTAGTGCCATGTAGTGCCATGTAGTGCCATGTAATGCCATGTAGTGCCCAAGTTTTTGTATGTTTTTGTGTTTTGGCCATTCTGAGCCATACAGCATACCTAGAAGGTCCTAGAAGAGTGTAAGCATGAAGTTGGACATGCAAGAACCAGCCTGCCAGCTTTTTGTTGATGAACTGGCAGTGCTTAAATAACGCATGAGAATTTCAAGAGAACACATGATTATTATGATTATGGATGATTATACCGTTATATGGATTATTAAAGGGTAAATCTCTGAGATATGTGGAGATCCCCAATGGAATCCCGGAGGACCAATCGGCGGTGACCAACTGATACAGATGGCCAGCTTGAGGCCCTTGAAACGGTGGGCTCGAGGAAGTGTTCCACTCGTCACATTTCGCTGTACATTTTAATTATGAATTCAGTTTTTTTTTTAAAAAAATAGTTTTTTGTGACATCAATTAAAAAGTGTGTTACAGCATGCCACAGTATGCGTGTATGTGTTTGATGTATATTGATGTATTTTGATGTTCCGAAACCGAGCAACTTCCAAGCCGGAGGCCGTGTTGATAGGAATTCTCCAACATTCAGCGGACCTCCCTCTCCATGGCAGGCCCAAATTTTCCAGGCCGCAAAAAGGACACAGGACAGCGAGATCTCAGCCATTTTCTGAATGGAACTTCCTCGGACTCGGTGATTCCAAGCATCCTAAAGTCACACGAGTCATGGCATATCATGTCACAAAGATTCAGCAAGATTGTCAAAACCTATTCAAAACCTTTGGATCTATTTTGGAACAGAAGTTCCACGGCAAGACTTTCAGGACTTCGGCAGACTTGGCACAGGCGCCGAAGGGCGAATGACTGCTTATCTGACTCACCGAAGATGGGGATAGCCTTAGTCTTCTTCCTGATGCGGTTGCCAAATTCAAATGTATTATTCTTTTTTGCACCTGGGGCCCTGCTTTTTATCCAAGTGTAGTTTTTGAATGTTGGTTCAACATGTTTCAAGACACGATGCTCAAATGCTCATCCTTGTGTACTTGACATTGAACAGTATCATTCCTCTCTGGTATTGTCAGCTGTAAATGATCAAACAGCAGAGGCAACCGCAAGGTTTTAACCTTTTCGTGCCTGCCGTTGCAGAGTCAGCCAGTAAGTTGTTGGGTGGGCTGCTGGCTGCACCATTCTGAGAGTTATAGATAGTCATGATAGTCACGATGTTGAAGTCAAAGTGGTCGTCATTTGCGCAATGAAGTGGTGGATGGTGGTAGTTTTTATTGCCAGCAGCTTCCTTTCAGGATGGCTTGTAGATAGAAGCAAGATGAGTCATGGAGCCATTGAGTATCAGTGATTGCTGTCTAATTGAGTATCAGTGATGATATATTGCTTGTGTCCGAGAACCTGATAACAAGAATCCAAATCCAGGTCATCTATGCTGCACAGAAATTCGTGTACAGTAACTTTGGCTGTCTGACTTGCATGGCCAAGTTTGACAATTGCAAAAACATGTTGCCTTTAGATCGATTGAACAGGATGGAACTTCAGGGGAGGTCTGATGTCCATTGATGTCTGTTTTTCAGGGAAGACTGAAGGCGAGATCAATGTGTGTTCGAAGGCCAAATGCCAAATGCAAACAGATAAAGAATGTCTTGTCTGTCTTGTTGTCTTTCCTCTTTATTGCTCGCCGGCCTGCGATGCAGCAACAAGATCCGGTGAACGTCGCATATTGACAAAGAGAAGCATAGACTTTAGCTGTGATGCTCACGCACTCGATAGAGGCAGGCACATGAATGTGGTTTGCATGTATATAGTTTGCTGAAGGTTCAAACATGTTCAAACAGCGTACAAGAAGGTATCAACTTGAGAAAAGGATCCACTTTCCTGATTCTTTATATTTCTTTATATTTCTGTATATATATATATATTCTTTATCTTTATTTCTTTCAGAGGTGATTCAGAAAGGACAGACACAGGTAGTCGTGGGAAGCGACACAGTGCCGGACACAATCCTAGAGCCCCAGCTGTGGCAGCTATGGTGATGGCACGGGGCTTGAGTCAAAGCTGTTAGCATTGCATGGAACACGGACACGGACACGGATGGACACGGCAGATGCCTTGGGTCTGGGCCATCTGGGTCTCAGGCTCCCACCCTCGGAAGTCGCGCAGGGAGACCTTTGCAGGCACCATAGATGGATCATGATGGATCCCGGTCGGACTGGTTGGAACATGTTGGAACATGTTGGAACACGTTTCTGTTGAGGAATTGCTGTAGTTGCTGTAGTTGCTGCAGTTGCAGAATTTACACCAGGCTATACACATACATTTCGGTATACAGCAGTTTGAAAGTGTTCAGAGATTCCCACTCAAACTTGTTCATATCATCATTTTGTCAGGAGCTTTTGCCTGACTTGCCCAGATCTCAGCTGAGAGCGACAACTGTCAAAGGTCCACGGGGAAGTGGAAGGACTCACGAGACCCCAAGGAAGCAACGATGTATTGCAGGTGTCGTTAAAGACAGCGAACCTATTGCGCAACCAAAAAAAGATTCAAGGGAAGGGAATTGGTTGCAGATTGGTTGCAGATGCTGAGCTTGTACTAGAAGAAACTCAGCAGAAAACAGTAGCGAAGAGGGCTAAGATGAAGTGAAAGCTGGTGGACGTGGGGGGAAGGAGATGTCACGATAGCACGAAATGCCGAGATCATTGTAGGAGATAATCGTAATGATTAGAACAGTGATAACAAGATCAAGCAAGAACATGTTCATACTTGTTCTGAATGTTCTGGACACTGACTTTGGTGGTTCCTCCACCAAACGTTGCATGGATGCCTTCTGCTGCATTTAGTGCTAAGGGCTGCGTCCCTGAGTGTGTTGTATCCGTTGTATCCCGGACAGGCCTGGTGGTTTGACCAACATTTGACAGTCAAACAAATGGCGTCTGACGGTCTTCACATGTCCACATTCGCCAAGCCATTGGATGATCGGATGGGAGCCCGGAGCCAGGGACAGAGCAAAGAGCAAAGGAAGCGACCCATGGACCCGAGGGAGAAGGCGCTGGACTGCGGTGCGATGTGTTCCGATTTGAAAGATCCGTGCATTTGAAGGGTCTCCATATGTGTCCAGTTTTGCAAATTGAATGTGAGGCAGCAAAACAGGCAGAGGCAGTTCAGGAACAGTTGAGATTGCAGTTTGAGCAGATTTCTGGACCAAGTGGATCCAAAAGAAGTGTCCAGAAGCTTGCGAAGGCTCCTGTACTGCTAGTGCCTGAACGTGTGTCTTGTGGCTGCAAATCATCACAACGTTTGCGGATTTGTTTGAAGCAGTTTTACCTGCATCTGGACTGCTACGTTTTGGCTGGATGCGGACAGGAAAAAACTCAAGCACATCCTAAGAAGGCTCGCTTTGTCGCAACTTTTGCCGTGCTTTCATGAACGAGTGCTGGTGATCCATGGTCCTTTGTCGCCACATGTGACGACCAATTTCCACACTTTCTTTGGTAGGGAGCAAAGAAGGAAGGCCGCACCGAGGGAGAAGAACCTGTGACGGTTGTGACGGCAAAGTGCAAAGAGCCTGAGATCCCGGAGCCGAAGCCGAAGGAGCCGAAGGAGCCGAAGGAGTCGAAGGAGAAGGCGGTCTTCGTCCAGCACGTGGAGAGTCACTGAGAGCAGAGCAATGCAGAGATATGCAGAGTGACTCACTGGGTACCGGGTAGCATTTTTGAATCCATAGTGCTACCCAGATGGATGCAGATGGTGCTCATGTTGAGATTTCTATGGGATTATGTATGATGTAGGGTCAATGCACCAAATTTGCCAATTTGACTGATATCGGATACAGCCTCTGCCGAATGATGGTTAAAGCGCAAAACGAACGAACAAAATAAGTGTCACAGTGTGATTTGTGAAGTATCATGATCACGGCGATATATGGCGACATATGGCGACATAGAGTCCTTCCAATCTGCTCAGGCATCTCAAGCCAAAAGAAAGGTCGATGTGAAGAAGCCGAGCATGGAGGGCATGCAAGGCATCCAGAGTATCTGCTCGCAGTCACCTTCCGGGAAGTCCCTGAAACGCCTGTCGAACACCCAGAGTGAGAAGAAGTCGCAGAAGGCCATGGTTTTGTGATGTTTCGTGTTTCAAATTCAAACCTTGGTGGATCCAGGTGGATCTTGTTGGCTGTTTAGTGCTGTCATGGTTAGAGTCAGTTATATTCCTACGGAACCACAACTTAGATCAACTTAGCAAGGCAAGTGACACCATCTTCCACCTTTTACTTCTCTTTCCCATTTCAGTGTGCTGATGATAGAGATGAATTCGGACGTTCATCATATTAGGCCACGGCAACATGGCTGAAAATGGAATCATGTCCGATTTCTTCGCTAGAGATGAGCCCAGCTTCAGGCACAGAAGGATCAGAAGGATCAGAAGGATCTGGCTAAGCTGCCCCAATCCAGGGAGGCAAAGACCAAGCTGAAAGTGCAGGAGTCGCAGAAGGCACAGAAGGTGCTTTGAAATGCTTTGAATCGGTTCAAGCTCTAGGATTCTCCAAAAGAGTTTTCGCATGTTTTTTTCAAACGTTGTTCATGCGTTTTTCACCTGTTGAGGATTGTTGAGACCTGTTTATTTTCACCTGTTTTCATTTTCGCTTCGTCAACTTGGACTCACGTGTCGCGTACCATCGTATGCCACTCCCAGGCCAAGAAACTGAAGACTGGCGAGGAGCTCAAGGAGATCGACAGCAAGGTTGGACACGGGTGAGATGTGTCGAGGCTTCACTGACCCAAACTTTGTTTTTGTCATGATTGGTTGACATGTTCTCGAGTTAGTTGATTTAACGTTGTGTATTTGTGGAATCTGGTTCAAGTGGACATGATGCTACAATAGGTGTAAACAGTGTAAACTTTCACGAATCTTCATTTGAGCATCTTTCCAGATTCCGCTTTGACGCCACAAAGTGGCATGCAACATCATCAACATCCGCAGTCACAAACCATCGCAAACCTCACCTTTCCACTTGCTGCATGTTTGTCTTGTTTCACATTCAGCTCATCTTCGAATCACAACATCCAGGAGATTGGTTTTCGATCAGCTCCTTCTGAGAAGTCCTCTGAGGCACTCAGGGCGTTGTGATACACTAGGAGACATAACAGACATAACTGTGACATAACATGTAGTTTGAGAATGTTTGATCACTTGATGTCCTGAGGCACCTATTCTGCCTATTCTTGTTTCCTTTCGAGATTCGAGAAAGCGGCCGTCATTGAAATATTTTGCAAGAGTCTCCACAATCCACTTTGGCCTTCCAGGAATCATGTCCTCCAGCCTTATAAGTCACCTTGATGAAAAGTATAAGATAGTATATGAACATATGATGTAACATATATGAATCATATGAATGATTGTGAATGTATAATATGAAGATAAGACACATATGAGATATACATATATACGGTATATAATTATAATTTATGCGAGTATGGTGGTTGTACATCAATGGGATCGTCCAGGTCACGAGTAGCAGTGGGGATGCCAGGTCCTGCGCGGTGCAAGACCCATCCAGTCCATTCGAAGCATGGAGATGAATGTGGTACAGCCGGTCATTTGGCTGAATCGTTGTGCTAGTTGCGTGTTAAAATCTGTCTATGGATAAAAGAATGACCAGCATTTATATATCAATATTTATCCATATTTATCCAACATTCAAGATGAATGACTCTGAATGACTCTGAATGACTCTGAATGACTCTGAATAGCATTCGTTTTGTGAGGGAGGTGACATCATGTGACATCTTTACCATCCCTCTCTGGCTGCCCCAAGATGCCCAAGTATAGAAAACCGTGTTTGCAGTTCCAGGACATTCATCCACAAGCTCCTGGCATACACTAGTCACTAGCCATGAGAAAACTGAAGTAGTTCTATAATGTTCTATAGTAGTTGTCATGTACGAATATTCAGTTTCAGTTTTTGTTGCTGTTTCGGCCTTTCCGATTCTTTCATATTCTTTCATATTCTTTCATATTCTTTCATATTCTTTCATATTCTTCCCGTTTCCCAACATGTTTCCATATTGATTCCAAGGCATCCGTGGGATCCCGTGGGATGTGGGAAGTCGTTCTGAGGCATCCAAATTCCCTATGGCCTCAGAGCTCACGATCTTCATGCAGGAGGGGCTGGCAATGGGTGGCACTGAAAACCCCCAGGTCATGGACTGTTCCCAGGTCAAGGGTGGCTTGTATGCAATTTTTACTGCAAACAGCAATCTGCAAAAGAGGTTGTTCAGGTTGTTCGATCTTCAGAGCTGCAACCTGTTAAAATATGTTTAAACTTGGGATATGTCACAGTTTTCGTTCACCAGAAACCTGTCACCTGCTGCCACCTGCTGCCATCTCCAATTCTGCGGCAGAACTTGGCTGTCCGGAAGAACCTGCGCGCCTGAGCTGGTGGCGTCGTGGCGTCGTCCATGTAGAGACGGCACCGATGGGGGGCCGAGGCCACGAGATTCCACACTGCATAGCAGTGCACTCAGCATCCATCAGCATCCAGTATATTCCAGTACCAGAGAGGTTTGCCCCAGTTCAAAAGAGAGTTATATATTGAGTTATATGTTTTGTCTATTCTTGTGTCAATTTGTGTGAACTATATGAACATCCACCTCATGATGAATCAAGTGTGCAAGGTGATGAAATTGGACAGCTCAAGATCTCCCAAAGTCCCAACACATGGATGTCATGGATGTCATGGATGTCATGGATGTCATGGACAGAAAAGTCCCATGGAATTCGACAGAGCCGAGGGAAGTCCCGTGCTAAACATAGCTCACATCTCTTAAGCCTTGGTTCAAAAGCAACTTGGAACGAATCATTCAACAACATTCATCAACTCAAGTTCTTTGGTGAGCTGTAGTTCCAAGCTGTAGTTCCAACAACTCTTCAACAACTCTTGCTTTGGTGCGGTCGTTGCACGCTCTGAATTTGGCACCAGCAATCACCAGCATGTTCGGCTCGCGTAATGCAGGAGTTTGTAGCGGGTAAGGGAGAAGAAGAACGCCAGCATCCGAAACATCATCATTCTCATGTTTCTTTGGAAAGCTCGCTCTTGTCCAGAATGTCTCAATCGGCTGCTGTGAAACATGTTTTTATCAGATGTTTCACTTGGAAGTTGCTGTGCTTCTTGCAGCGCGCCCTCATCCGCAGTGTTAAAGTTGAGCTGCGCCTGGTCTGCATTGACTTCGCTTGACGCGCTATACCGGCGAATCTGCAGCAGCCCTTCCGCTGACGGGACATGATCCTATGTAGCTTAGGTGGGATGAAAGGCAACCTGATGCAACCTGCTCTCAAAAAAAGATCGGCCACTTGCTTGTCTCAAAGCCTGTCCACACGTCTATGAAGTTACCGCTATCAACTTGTGCTTTCTGATGCTTGCTGATATTGGGAGCAAAGCTTGAAACTTGAAGCATATCTTTCAGTATGGTCTTGGGCTTGATGATTTACATCTGTGTGTGTTGAAGCAGAAGCATCAGAAGCATCAGAAGCATCAGAAGCTACAAATCAAAGTTCCACATAGAAAACACTCTGCAAAGACTCTGCGACCGCATAGAAATTGGCATTCCGCGGCCCCCGCAGGTGGAGTTCATCCAGATGCAGCGTTCGGCAAGAGGCGCCCAAAGCACGGCACCCTCCAGGCACGATATGAAAAATGTGAAGAAACCTGAAGAAACCATAAGAAACCTGAAAGATTGTGCAAGTACCAAGCAGATCCAAGCAGATGGGCTATGATTCTATGATTATGATGGTCTTTCATGGTCTTTCCAGGTGCAGATGGACCATAGAGCCATGCAACACAACACAATCACAAAAGGATATATAATATGTAACATTTGCCAGTCAAAATGCATCTTATAGTTTGTTATAATCCTGCACTCATCATGCTGACTGGCTATTCAATGGGAATTTCAGGATCCTAAAATGGAGGTACTGTACCATATAAGACCATTTTTTGTGGGGATATTCCCTTACATAGGCCTAAAAAATAGGCCTTATATATGGTAGGTACCTCCAATCAATCGGTTCCTGAAATGGCCATTGAGCTATTGTCTCCAATTGTGTGTATTGGGCTGTGGGTAGAGGTTGTAAGGCTTGGGAAGACTCAGGGAAGATCGGTTGAATCTGGTTGAATCCGATTACCTGTAGACTTTGCACGGAATCTCGCCAGGTATCATCCAGCCCAGAGCGAAGATGCGTTGCTTTACTGTTTGAAGGCTTGGATGCAAAGGTCACCCAGAAGCGAACACGGTTTTAAACCATACGTTAAAACCAGAAGCAGAGAGGTGAAGCACCAAGGAACCTCAGCAAAGCTAAAATATCAGTGGAACATCCAGCTCTCAAAGACTCAAAAAGAGGAGAGCCTCCAACTGTAAGCCTTGTAAGCCTTGTAAGCCTTGTAAGCCTTGTAAGCCTTGTAAGCCTTGTAAGACTCTTATAAGATCTTATAAGCTGCAAATGTTATTGAGATTTATTGAGTGTATTAGGCGAATCATGGAGGTCACACGATGTCACATGTCAAGAGGACTTTGCATCTTTCCCCATGACATCCGAGATGACATGTCAATAGCATGTCCTTACCCAACCCGGACGCAGGTGCTGGACATCATTTCTGATGCCCAGACTCCACACACAGGAGGCACAGCACGTGTGCAATCGGAGTCTTCCGGTATCAAGATTCATCAAGACCTGAAGTAGAGACTTGCGACCTAAAGGGTAGTATTCCAGAGGTATTCAACTTGTTCAACAATCTCAGGAAACGACGGTTTGCCTTTCGCCCGAGTGACTATTAAAGGTCATGCCAAGCTTTACAAAGACATGACATGGGCTTCCCTCTTTTTCTGGTGTCAGAGCAGCCACGCTTTCCCTTCAGTTCACCTTACCATACCTTCCCTGTCTCGCTGCATTTACAGTACCTCGACTTTCTGCAGGTGCTTCCGCTTTGGCTTTGCAGCTTTGTGCAGTCGGATGAGAAAGAAGCGGCTTCTGAAAGTTCGGGTTTCAGGGTGCCAAGACAAACGTGACAAACATGCAGATTGCGATCGATTTTAACCTCTCAAGTCCACCCAAACCCACTCAAATTCGTCCTGTAAAGCTGGTGGAGTCAAGACACCTCTACACCGCTGCACGGCTCAAGATAGTTGATGTGTTATGTTTTTTTTAATAATATTTCATGATGGTTCATTCTATTTCAGTATGTTTCATGATATATATTTACTATCCAAAATGCAACAATATGTTTTTTTGACAAGAATGGAGTATGATCAATATTGGTGGACTACGACGGATATTGATGGATATTGATGGTTTACGATGGTTTAGTGGAGTCTCAGCGAAGAAACTCAGTGTTTTGACATTTTGGGCGACTTGGCCATGTCTGAAGTTTAGTAGCCCTGCTGGCCCTGCTTCATTCGGTAAGAAAGGCTTGTGTTGGAATTGCCCTTGGGCCTACCACAATTGCAGAGTGTCAAGAGGGGTTGGATTTTGTGCTTGAGATCCATCTGTCACTCACAGAATTGTGCAAGGGAGATGATGTTTTATCATCGCTGCAGCCATGAGTGCCATGCGCACTGCTGCAGGGCTGTGTGCTCTGATCGGCAAGGCACAACGTCTCTACTTTCAGCAGACAACAAGCTATGATGATATGATAGTCATTGACAGTCTAAATGTTATTTCCTTGACAAACGACACGGTCTTTGCCCATTCACTTTAACACGTTGGTGAATTGCATTGAATTGCACAACAAGGGAGCCGTGCTGAGAGTACTTGGATTGCACAAAGAAAGGATGGTACAGCTTCCAAGGAAAGTTGGGAAAAGCGGATCCAAGCTGACACAGGCAGCAGCAGCAGCAGCAGCAAAATGACCCCTGCTTTGTGGAGGTATATGGGGATGGATCGGATGGATCAACAAGTTCGACAAGTTCGACAAGTTCAATTCCACCTTTGGCAGACTTGTACTTGAGCACGCTAGTTGGCACACTCACAGGCGCAGACTCGGGTTTGAAATAGGAGATTTTGGTGTGGAGATTTTGGAGACTCTGTCTAAAGCTCGAAACAATGTGTTTTCATATGTTTTCATATTCTATAACGTTACTAACGTGACTGAACTTCAGTATTTATAGTGTGAAGTTCTCCAACAATGCGTCTCTATGAGACTTTGATCTTTTTAAGAAAGACCTTGCGAGGTGAAGCTTTGCGCACCCAGAGCGTTTCATTTGTAGCGAACGAGGACCGGGGTAAAGGGGAAGACAGATCAAGAAAGTGAGGACGAGACTGGGATAGCCGATAATTAGATGCCGATAGAATCTAAACTGCAGAGTCAGATGAGTCAGATGTGTAACGTGGATTTGATTGAATTCGTCTGGATTCATCCAGAGATGTCAGGTGCGCGAGTATCATGACACTGCTGAAGAACGTGCTGTGGGAAAAATAGATCTTTGGATGCATTGGACATTGCTAGCATTACCTGAAGAGGAATCGTTGATCATTCTCGAAATTTCTTGGATGGTCAATCAGTGTCCTCTTCCGTTGGGAACATTTTTGGTTTGTGCAAGTTGACCTTTTTGACAAACCAACTACCGCCATTGCAGATCTCAACTTCACTGTCTGTCGATTCGAGCCTCTGAGGGATGCTCCAATTGCTTGACCATGATTGGGTCAAAACGGTTGCGTACCGTGTCTTGATATGTCTTGATATGTCTTGAATGTTTGATCACTGTGCAAGGAAGGGTTTGAATTCGATGATACATTCCGCCAACTAGACAAATGTGGTTGGTTGATGTTGGTTGAGCGAATGCAGATTCAATGCAGATTTTGCATGATTTTGCCACTTTGAGTTCACACAAGTGACGCTGTGGACTTGCCAAAGGTGATGTTTGGGACATCCTGGAAGCAATCCGTGTAAACAATGTCAGCGGCGATTACGTGTTGTTTGGCTCAGTCGCAGATGACATATTTGCATGACTTGACTGAGGCAGTGCAGGACCGAACGTGTTGAAACACACAAGTTAAGTGATACAAAAGTCGGAAAGTCGGAACATATACTTAATTAGACTTAGTTGAGACAGTCACACTTGGAGTCACACTTGGTCACACTTTGACCCTCATTCAAACTGTTGGTCCTTTCTGGCGAACCTAGGCAGACCGGCGTGTGGCACGGAGGAGTAGCTATTTTTGCACGAGCGTATTTTCATGTCTATGACATGAACCGCAAGGCCAACGTGAAACTGCACAGAGATCAAGATGAACACAAGATTAACATGGTGCAACATGGTGGACCTGGGTTAATCGTGACATTGACCCTGCAGGTCTTTGCTTGTGACTCCTTTGACGGATTTCCGGATGCTGCTGTCACCAAGAGCAGCTATTTTGAAGTCAGAAGCTTGGAGCAAAAGCCTACTCCCCGGTGTACTTGATGTCATTGTATGTATATCTATTCTATAAATATATCGTATGATATATGC